ATTGAAGGATGTTGTCGGCACGAAACCTTGGGCTTCCTGTGACAACAACATCAAGGCAATGAAGTACCATACCCCAAATACGTGAAAGACGCTACATCTTGTCATTGGTCTGCCGTTCTCAAGAAAGAAAGAAGTCAACGGCCTGATCAGAAAGAGAGCTCCTTCCAATCATGATCTGTGAGTAGTAGACTAGGGATCAATGCGCATGCCGGCGTGAAAGTCGGAGCACAGTGAAGACGAAATATGAAACTGAGCTGGCGCTTTCTCTAACCCCTCGCCCATTACGGAAGCCCCCCTCCGCTACATTCGCCAGTCGCGGACAACACTTCGGAACGCACTTACCCGATCCCTTCCCTTGCCCCCCTGCCCTTAGATTCCCATCCCCCCTAGCCTCTCCTCCACGACCCTGCCACCCCTTCATTGAGCCCCCACTCACCTCCTTCAGAATTGAAGACCACCGCACACCCCTCACAGAAGGTCGTACAGTGCCTCGAACCAAACAGAACGCTATCAAAGACCACCTAACCAAAGCGGCTTTCGAGACCCATCAAGCCACTCTCACTACCCTGGCTAGCGCCCCGCCTCAATCCAGTCGTTGCACTGGCTCCTGGCTTGCAAGTCAATGCCCGATATTGCCAAACGCCACTCACTCTCTCGCTCAAGATGGAGCTTGATGCTCTTTCTCCCGATTCGGATCATTACCCGCCCCCAGGCTCTTCCCGCTCTTTGTGATGGCTGTATACTGGAAATCCCTTTCACGGATGTCCACCAATGCTCCCTGGATTGCAAACGCGGTCGCTTAACATCCGTCGCCATAATAAACATCCGCAATGAACTATGGTTTAGTTATGCATGTTGATATGCCTGTTGAGTTCTCTAGCAGTTGCGATCAGTCAGAACCACAACCCGCTTCCTCTGTTCCCCGACACTAGGACCCTACTAATCCCTTGCGGTACACCGCCATTTCTACATTACCCGTCCCTTCCTCCCCAACCCTCTCAAGTCCCCCTCCAGCCCCCGAGCTCTTACGCGGAGATCTTTCCATTCGCGGCTTGTTGGAACGACGGGTATACAGCTATTTAGACGTAGTGTCATGATTTGGATTGTCTCTTTTACCGGCCAACCAAAGATCCCGTCAAAGTTTTAACCCAACAAGAACGCGACAAAATTTCCAAATATAAAGAAGCATGCGACTCCAATCGCGCTTCCTTCCACCCCTTTGTTGTTTCAGTGGATGGCATGCTAGCCCCTCAAGCCAAGACTCCCTTACAACGCCTTGCTTCAGCTACTGCCTCCAAAACTCAATTTTCCTACTCTCAAATGATGTTCTTCATGCAGACCCGTATCTCAATGGCCCTTGTGAAAGCTACCCATTTATGTCTCCGTGGATCCCGCAAAACAAAACCCTTTGCCCCCCGTAAAGTTCCTCAGTTTCTTGCCCCTGATCCCACAGAACCTAGTCCTGGCAGCATATGGCTGCTGATTTGCTAGCTGGATCCACGGTGCAGGCGTTCAAGCGGTAGAGTTTGCGGCTACTAAACCCCCTGATATGGCTTGGTTGTCATGTTCGGAGGACAGCTTCCAGGTGGAAGTACCTTGCCGACCGTATCTACGGTAGGGTTAAGAACTCTCAACGGTCTTATGTTTCTCAGTCATCAAATCTTGGACGTGGGAGTCATCGTCACTTTGGAGTGTGGAGACGACATTGGCATGCATGCCAACAGAGAAGTCAAGAAGACACTGCTGCTCACCTACTAGTACAGTAATCGTCGACATTTCAACGGCTCCGGTAACCAACTTAACCAGCTATTGGCAACCAGGACCACCAAGCCAAAAGGATTCCATTCAAGGCATCCCACAACTCTACCGTAGATAGCTAGACAATGGCAGAGGAAAGAGACCAATGACAGTCCGGAAGCCCGCCCTTACCTATACTAACATCGACCTCCAAGGAAAAACCTCAACTCCTTCACATTACTTTCGAGAGTGACCCGAAGGGTAGTCTGGGGTGTCAATTGGTCAACACAGATAAGGTACGGATGAGCAGAATCTTTGTTTTGTCGATGAGGTTAAGATGGAGGTATCTGCATGTTACAGTATGACATGGGTATCTGCATGTTACCTTAGGCTGGAGTCGAATCATTGGCAGCCAACAGCTAATGCCTCTCCTTTATTGTCGTTTTCTTCCAGGGCTCGGATGACCACATGTTTCTGCCTGGTTACGCTGTGATTGGCAAATTATTAAAAGGTGAAACAGTAGCTCGAAAGTTTGACGTTCGGGTGGGAGATGTGATTGTCGCCGTCAATGGCACTGGGTATCGTCGATTTGCCCCAGATTACAAAGAAGCAGATGTCGAATATCTCAACAAGGACGAGGAAAAGGTAGATGTTACCCTCGATAATGCCGTTGTAGCAGCTGGAGAAGCATACAATCAATTGCTGTCCAAAATCAAAGCCATCAAGGCCGCTGCACCCGATCCACCGCTCATCCTCACACTGGAACGATACGGTGGGACCCCGCTCCAATTCATGGCCTCGATACTTGGCGGCACCGATAACAACGTACGGATGCCATGAGTGAGGCAACACAAGTCCTACCAATCAATGGAAATCCGAAATATTCCCCATTGATCACAAAGCCGGTTGCAGGAAATTTTCAAGCAAAAGCCATTGCGAAATCAACATTCATGAAATCAAAGATTTCCCACCCACCGTCTACATCAACTACGGAAAGCTGCAGCAAATGGAAAAAGCAGAGAAATCACCGCCGATGAGGTTGTGGAAGCCTTTTAATTTTACCGAACGCTTGCTCGCACATTCCAACGACCCGAAACCAAAAACCTGCCAATTCATTGATCTTTCCGGGGTCAGTATCACGGGAGGATTCCGAGTGGAAACTCTCAACGCATTTACAAAATCTTTGAACCAAACTACCCCGAGACACTCTTCAAGATGGTCATGTTCCCCGTATCCAGCATGGTGGTAAGTGGGGTCTGGGTTGTAAGCAACATGTTGCGGAAGAAAGCTGTCCTGGGGCACTTTCGTCGTTGTAGCACTACGGGCTCCTCACTCCTCGTTCTGCCACGCTCTAAACTTTTGCAGGGTCTGACGGCAAGGTCGCTTCTCAGTTTTGTAAATGAAAAGACACAATCCAAGTTCCTCATCACAAACAGCCTAGACAAAGTATGCGAGGAATTGGGTTGGGAGAAACGGGATGTCGACGACTGCGGCGGTATCAAGGAGTTTATGGAGAAGCACGAAAAAGTGGGAGACTCATTTTTGTTTTAAACACACACCGTGTGAAGATCAACTAGCAAATGGCAAAACAGATGGTGGGCATCTGCGGCACGCACCATGTTGCTTTGTGCAGTTGAAGGACGAGATGCAGTCCACCAATGACCCAATTGCAATGTTTGGTGATGCATGTGCTATCATGTTAAAACGCACACCAGTCCTTTCGTGGGCGTCACCTCTACTATTGAAGAATGTCTTTTTTATGACTACCCCTTGCTTTCTTCGTCGTAGTAGTGTCTGCGTTCACTTCGCACTCTACGTCGTGTACGGACTGGTATGACTAGCTAATCGCCATCTGAGCTTCTGTGCTCTTTGGAACTGTGCTTGCCGCGTCTCCTTGAAGTTAGCTGTCTAGATAGAAGAATGTAATTGAGCTCTCCTGTCCGAGATCTTTCCTCGTGATCCTCGGACTGTGCCTCTTTCCGCTTCGACTTTATCTATTGTATGTGTAATGTCGTGGTGAGGACAGGCGGAGCTTGCAAGGCCACATCATAAATGGTATGGCGTTACACCGTCTGAACTTGAAGGTGCCAGTTGTGAGCGGAAGCCTTGGCATTGGCCCCAGTAGGACTTGCCTTTCATTAGGGCCTTCCTCCAAGTTGCTGCCGAGGAACTGAAGGAAAGAATCGAAGCGTGATCAGCGCCAGTGCAAACTCGATTAATGTAGGCAGGGTTCTTTGTCGGATATATCGGCTCGTCTTCTGTGCATCCATTTACGAGTCAAAGTTTTTTGATGGAGCTGGCGAGCGCGGCATTATTTGCGGAGTCTCGGACGACCCTAACTGCTATTCGTACCGTAGCTAGGCGTTACGTATTCACGGATCCTATTCGTCTAGTCTACGTGACTAAAAATTTGCGGAGTAGTCTCAAAGTTTAAGTGGTTCGCCGGCGATTGAGCATCGGGAGTGTTCAGTCATCTTGCGCAGCAGTCGGTATACTGTCAGCATTTCGTGTTTGGGGCGCCTTATCAAACTAAGCGTTGTCAGGATGGTATCACCGTCGTCTCCCACTCCGATCCATATCAGGCCAAAAATAAAACGGAAGATCAGCCAGTTTTGCTGTTCTTCGACACTAAACTTTGCACTGTGGCCAAGGCCGTCAGAAGCGGAGATCGTAATCGCAGTGTTTATGTTCGGGTGCTTTTTAGGTGTTTGTTATTGTGGTGGTGTTTAACATTGTGTCTGTTCTTCTGGCTAGCTTAGTAGCTTTCATCTCGTTTACAGTACTCTGGTCTGTAGCGCTACAGGTCATCCAGCATTCCAACTCCACAACCCACGTTGCCGTTGTTCCGGTTGTGTGGGTTTTCCCTTCGACTTATGAATTTTGGCGAGCATCCTAGAATTCATTGAAAGCCAATATCGTTCATGATCGACATTCCCCGGTTTTCAACTTTGTTGTTGTTGTCATCATCATCGCCGCTGTTGTCGCCACGTGGACTAAAACTATTTTGCATTTCTTCTTGGTTTCGATCCCATGGGATTCTCTCTCTTTGCTTCTTTTTTCTTCCGATCGAAGTGGTTGTGCATACCTTTTTTGGCAGGCCGCCGCAAAGGGATTCGTCGGGTCCGCCCACTTTCCGACATGTACTTGTTCATAAAGGTCGACGACGGGATCGACGGACGAGGAGGTGTTTTTGTTGTTTTGTACTGGCGTTTCGTTGTGGGTGGTTTTTTAAGGTCTCATCTTTTTGAGTTGATTTCTTGGTGGCATCTTGTGGACACCCTCTCTTTGAGAATTTCTTTCCAAACGAGTTGTGCCTGCCAATCGCGACAAGCGAAATAAACGTTAATGAGGACACTCATGGCCAAGGGTCCATTACGAGAATTCCCTGTTTCTCCTTGGCTGCGCTCCTTGTGGTCGGTGCTATCGCATTTTCTTTTGTGATGTTCTCGTGGTTTGTGGTTCGTAGCAAGCTTGTAGGGACCGGGCATGTTGCTGGTAGCTTTGCGTCGATGGTGGATCGGAGTAAGTATTGACTTTAAATTTGATCGGGATAGGTTTCCATCTTGGGGATTGTTTTGTTGCGTTGGAAATCCGACCAACGTACTGGCGGCATATTCGGCAAAGGTAGTTCCATCGCATTGCAAAAACCAGAGACAGTACCGGACATCCGTACAGTCTTTGCAAAAGTCGCACGCCACTGGTTGTTCGTCTTTAGGAAAATTGGCACAAATGGCCCGAAAGATACGTCCCGTACTGGGAGCGCCCGCTTCGGAATACCAGAATTCGTTGATTTTGAGTACGGGAATACGTTGAACCGTCAATGGTTTGCCACCCGCCAGTTGTTCGTCCAAGTAGGGATTGTCCACATCCGCTTCCAATCCGTGAGTGTGATTCATGCAGCGTTCAATGAAATGTGTGCCAATGCCGAGGCGATTCATAATGGAGTAGGTGCAGTTCTTGCCAAAGGGTTTATTGCTGTCTTCTTGGCACTGGGAAAAGCCACTGTCGCTAATGTAATTCCAGAAATGAAGTTGATTGCGTCCTCCTGTCTTGCCATAGACGACCCAGACTATTCATTAAAATAGCATAGATAGATAGATAGAAACAATGTTAAAGATTCCAAACACAGACATACAGACATACAATATATCCATATATATATATCTACAAAAGACGTACCACACAATCTCCGCAGTGTCTCTTCGACGATATCCGCTCCACTGATGCGCGCCGCCAACGAGGGATCGTCAGGTCTCGTCGGAGCGGCACAGTAACGTCCGTGATTGGTACAGTTTTGTCGACATTCCGAATTTTCGTCTTCCACGCCGCGGCATCCCACATCCCGGCCATCGACCAACAAATAACGGGGCGAAAAGACGACCAATTTCTTGTCGAGGCGTCGAACAATTCCCTTGATCAAATAAAACAGCGGCTGCAAAAAGTCGTCCGTCGTCGACCACAATTCCAACGTCACCGCCGGAGCTTGCGCTTGACCCAGCAGTAGGGTCTGTGAGGCATTGTCGGTGGGGTATTCCACGTACGATTCCAACGTTTCTTCGTACGGAACCAGGACATGACCTTCGTTGGCATGGACTGTGTTCTTTACTAACAACAGCAGCAACAGAGACACACCGAACCTGGGCGCTGACAGATGAAACGTGTAAGGGGGTATTCTTATTCATGATTGTAGTGCAAGCGGCAGGTAGTTGGACCAGCATCTTGATGTGTGTGTGTGTGGGCGCCTTCTGCTTGGAGCGCTCGTGCGAAAACGAAAACCATCCTACGCTACGTTACAGAGTAGCAAGCGGCCAAGATTTTGGAAGATACACACAAGAGAGGAGGAATTCTCACTCGCGGAAATAATCAGAATCGCTCAAAGTCGACTTTTCAGGTACACAATGGCGATACAATTCCGTGCATCCACGAATGTCGTGTGTCTCTCGCAGCGACGCCTCGGGTCTACCGGACAGGCATATCCCGTGCCTTTGGGCAGGAGCATTCTCGTCGTTCACTAATAGTACCGCGACAACTCGGCAAAGACGTTCTTTTCCTCCGTAGCTAGGGATCCTCCTCCTTCCCGTCTTCTCTCCTCGACCTATCTCGAGCCCGTCATCCACAAAGAAGTCTGTTTTACGATTGATACCCTTGTCGAAATTTGGGGACGAACTGAGTTTCTTTTCTCCCGCATTCGACAAGAAACGGTGTTGTATAAGCCGGGACGGAAAGTTTACTCCCAGCGACGATAATGATGAAGAGCCCTTTGAACTCTTTATTGTGGAAGAAAACGACTTGCCAGAAGTGGCCCTGTTCATTGTCAAGGCGTTTGGTGCCGATGCCATCAACCTGAGCAGCAATGAATTCAGTGCCTTTGAAAAGAGACTAATCGAACCAGCCATGGACTTTTTCAATGGCTACACGGCCGTCACTGCATTTACCGAAGTTTTGTGGGGACTCCGCATCCGGCAAGCCGATCGAGTGGTCCTGTCGTCTGTGAAGGAAATATTGGCATCTTCCGAGGAAGAAAAGGAGGAAGCAATCGCAGCAAAGATGCCTGTCACGAATGATATTTCCCCTCCTCAACTACCAGAAGATATGACCTACAAGGAAAAGGTCGAAGCTTGCAACCGCAAGTCTCTTGTGCTTGTATTGGCACGACCAAGTGTCAGTAATGACAACAGCTCTAGCAAATGGGAATCAATTGACTCAAACATTGACATCATTGCATCTGTCGAGCTAAGGTTACAGGTGAGTCTAGCACTAAGAGGGGGTGGCATTTGTTAGGTGGTTCTGATAATTGTGTGAACTGATGATGTTCAAAAATGATTCCACTAACCACCATACGCCATGCAAACATGCCAATGGAAAAGCCATGCGATGCCAAGATCCCCTTTAGTCTTCCATGGTGGGATGAAATTGAACGAAACGCGGCCAGCTTTCTTGGAATCCCCAAAGACCAGAGCTCCAACCACTTGCAGCCTTACTTGAGCACACTTTGTGTGGACGAAACCTATCGAGGAAAGCAAATTGGCCGCGCCATTGTGAGATGTCTGGAAGACATTGCGACAACAAAATGGGGATACTCTAAAATGTACCTTCATGTGGATGGAGAGAATCCTCCGGCGTTGAACCTGTACAAAAGCGAAGGATATGAGGATGTAGGACGAAGATGGAATCCCTTTTGGGCGGGGAAGGCAGCCGATATTGGATACTTTGTCAAGAATCTTTAGCACCTGCCTGCAATGGTTAGGGGAAACAATCTGCAGACGCCAATGGTGGTACCATTTTTTCTGCTTGACTGGCTTGCTGACCCTTTCAGTGGTTGTGTTTCAGTAGTTACAAAAATGGTTCCACCACACCCGAGGGCCCGAGCTTGCGCCAAATCAAATCCCCCAACCCGAAACTAAGAAGGGATCCAGAATGCTCAAATCGCTTCGTGATTGAGCCAACTGGACCTGTGAGATACCTGTTGTAGATATAGAGGTATAATACCTCAGGCATCCTCGAGGTCGAGGTCCTCCATCGAGCCGAGTGGAGTTGGCTGCCCCAGCCAGCTAGGTTCGCATAAATGGACAATCCAGGGAGATACGCTGATACTGTAGTAGAACGTTAGAATGTACCAAAATGGACGCAGATGTCTGAGATAGCGACTCGACAATTCCATCCTCTGCCAGCCTTTCTTCAGACGGTTATGACCATTACTTCCTTGCTTGATGGCCAAACGGCAAGCTCTGAAGGCAGCTGCCACGCCGGAACCATTGGAAAGAGCTGACGATGAAGCCGCTGCCGACAACCCAGTTTGGGCACTTCCAGACGGGATAGATGTCAGGTCACGGCGTCTCTATCTGCAGTCGATGTGTACCCATCAGTGGGCTACTGAGAACTAAATATTTCAGATGATGCAAACAAGGCCACATGTACTAGAGGAACACTTGCCCTCACTTACTTCAAGACCTGGGTGGGCAAGTGGTATGAAACCATGGGGTATGTGATCTGGTCTACCTCAGCAATCCCTTCTTTGAAAATGGAAACAAAAGCCCATGCCCAGTATTCCTTTTAGTCTGCTGCTGTTCAAATTGGAGATGATGTTTCAGCTCGCGAGAAACAATCCAATTTTGAGGCCCAACCTGGCTGCAGTGTGACTACTGTACGCCTTCTTGGGGTGTTCTAGTGTTTGTCAATTTCAGAGTTTCAGTGATACAATGTAGACTCCTGAAGAAAACGATTTTGTGCTTCCAGCTGGCGGAAACAAAGAATTGCTGGTTTATGGTTGATTCGATTCGATTGGCAGCACGGAATGGCCGTGTTGTTGGCTAATTAATCCTCCTCCGCTTCAAATTTGCCCTTTCGATCGGACGATCCAATGGATTCGACCAGCCAAACACCCTGATTGGGCGGTCGCCGATTTTTCCGTAGTTCCCATTGCCACCGCCTCAATCTTCCATCACTGGAAATGGTTTTCATGACTTGCGTGGCAATCCATCCTTGGTCTCCCCCCACTCGGTTCAACGGCGTTTCCATTTCCCACTTTTGTCCGTACATGGCAGCTCCGTAAAAGGATGTAGGGAACTGGTTGGCAGTTTCATGGGCCGATTGAATAAAGTCGGTGCGATTGTTCTGGAACACATACTGGGTGTTGCCTCCGGCAAACTCCCACATGGCGGCCAAGCCGGTATCGACGTGGGGAATATCATTGTTTCGTAATGCTGTCATGAGCAATGGGGGGATCGATTCCGGGATCAATTCCAACCGAGGGGTACCAGCTCCTTGGAAGGAACTGCTGGTGCCTCCAGGGAAATCAGAACTGTCGTCTTGACAAGAATAGCCGTCATCAGGTTCTGCCGACTGTTGTAGATTGCTGGACCATCTTTCGAAAAAGTTGTCTCTTCTGGGCAATGAAGTTGGACATGTACTGGTACCGGTGCCTCCTGAGTTCAAAAATGCTCGTGCACAGTGATGAACGATAGCGACGTAGAGTATGAGAGACTTGACCTTGGAGTGGAACAACATCATAAAAACATCACTGTCATCATCAAACCTTAGGAAAAAAATCTACCGGTAGCTCCCGCTTCATTCGGGACCGTTTTGGGAACCGTCGCACTGACGTGTCCCATGTCAAAGATACGACCATGCCACAAAAGAGGATCCATCCAAAGATTGTTGACAGTAGGTAGCTTGACTCGGTAACACAACAAACTGCAACAAAAAAGCAGACCAGAGCAACGATGATGCCTCTTCGACTTTCAACAACGCTTCTTTTGGTGGCATCGCTCGTTCAAGGAGCTTTCTCTTTCAGCACGCCTCATGCTAGATTGGCCGCCCGATTGGCATCACCATCAGCACATCCTTCACTCGTTCTATACATGTCTGATGGCGGCGAAGATGCAGCAGCAGCAGAAGATGTTCCGCCACCAAAACCAGGCAAAGAACCGGTGGATCCCATGCCACCCGCCCAAATGATGAAGACTCCACCGTCGCCACCACCCAAACGTTTGGATCCACTCTTGGCCAGTCTGACACGGGTAGATCCCAACGCATCCAGTAGTAGTGCCGAAACACCCACCACCAAGATCCCACTCTTGGGAGAAGTTACCATGGACAAGAGTCTCTTTGTGGTGCTGCCAACGGTGGCCTTTGCGGTGCTAGGATTTCTGTTGACATTTGTGGTAGCCTACAATTCACGGGATGTCTTTGTCAATTCCATTGATGCATGGAATGATTCTGTAATGAATCCACCCAGCAAAGTGATTGACCCAAATGAATGCCGAGGGCTCTGCAGTACCCAGGAGCAAGATTTGGAGGGACTCAAGAGCTTTATGAACGGCTTGGGTGGCCAGAAAAAATAAATAGATAGATGAGAGGCAGGGAGTGGATGAAGTCCAGCAATATCATTGAATGGGGCATTGCTTTATTCCAGCCTTGACCGATGGCCACCAAAGCTCGACTGTTTGGCCATCATGGTGACATCTTCCTCTTTTTCAGCTAAAGAATAGATAGTAGCTATCTGCTTCCAAATACTCTTGTGGGACCGTAGCACCTTCACTAATCCATTTGAAGCACAGTAAAATGAGACTACGACCCATAGTCTACACAACTAAATTCCAGACCAAAGCGTCTTCACAAGAAGAGTCTACAATACAGACTAATTTTTTATGGTTTTTGTGTGTATTTTGTTTTTTGTTTGTCTGCATCCTGCTTACAATTCATCATCACCAAAGTCGTCGGCATCAGCACCTCCGCCGCCGCCTCCTTCACCGCCAGCGTAGAGGTTTCGCATAATGGGGTTGGCAACATTCTCCACTTCCTTCAGCTTCTCGTCGTAGTCTTCCTTGTCAGCTTCTGGGTTTTCGTCCATCCAGTCCAAAGTCTCGTCAATCATGTCGGTAAGCTCCTTCTTGTCTTCAGCAGACAGTTGGTCAGCAAGACCCTTCTCGTCATCATCCAAAGTGTTCTTGAGGTTGTACAGGTATGATTCGAGTCCGTTTCGGGCATCGATACGATCCTTGACCTTCTTGTCCTCCTCGGCGAATTCCTCAGCCTCGCGAACCATTCTCTCGATTTCTTCTTCACTGAGACGTCCCTTCTCAGCAGTGATGGTGATCTTTTCTGCCTTTCCAGTTCCCTTATCCTCAGCAGACACTTGCAAAATACCGTTGGCATCAACGTCAAAGGTGACCTCAATTTGAGGGACTCCACGAGGAGCAGGTGGGATTCCAGTCAACTCGAACTTTCCGAGCAAGTGGTTATCCTTGGTCATGGAACGTTCTCCCTCAAAGACTTGGATCAACACAACACTTTGGTTATCTTGGTGGGTGGAAAATGTTTCTAAATAGACGAGCGAGAAAAAATGACAAATGTGAGAGACTACTGACGAAATAAAATATGCTGCTCGACCAACAGTATCCAAAATTCAACTTACGAGACTTCTTGGTGGGGATGGTGGTACCACGGTTGATGAGCTTGGTCATGACTCCTCCAACAGTCTCAATACCTTGGGACAAGGGGGTAACATCCAACAACAGAATTTCACTAGTGGCATCACCTCCCTCTCCGGAAAGAATTCCTCCCTGAACGGCAGCTCCAAAGGCAACGGCTTCATCGGGGTTGATACCCTTGGATGGTTCCTTTCCTCCAAAGTATTCGGAAATGAGTTGCTGAACCTTGGGAATACGAGTGGATCCTCCTACAAGGACAATTTCGTCAACTTCGCTCTTGGACAAATCGGAATCTTCCAAGACACGTGCAACGGGTCCCATGGTCTTCTTGAATAGATCGTTATTGAGTTCCTCGAAACGGGCACGAGTGAGAGTTTCGGAAAGATCAAATCCTTCAGCCAAATCCTCAATTTCGAGACGAGCCTGTTGTTGGGCAGAAAGCGCACGCTTGACACGTTCGACTTCCTTACGAAGCTTTTGCAGAGCCTTCTTGTCTCCACTAATATCGACCGAGTTCTTCTTTTTCATCATCTTGATAAAGTACTGCATGACACGTTGATCGAAATCCTCACCTCCCAAGTGAGTATCTCCGTTGGTGGCCAAGACCTCAAAGACTCCATTATCAATGGTGAGTAGAGTGACATCAAAAGTACCACCACCCAAATCAAAGACCAAGACATTGGATTCTCCTCCCGTTTTGTCCATTCCGTAGGCAATGGCAGCTGCTGTGGGTTCGTTGATAATACGTTCGACCTTGAGTCCGGCAATGGTTCCGGCATCCTTGGTAGCTTGACGTTGGGCATCATTGAAATAGGCAGGAACGGTAACGACAGCGTTTCCAATTTCTTTTCCCAAAAATGTTTCGGCAGTCAACTTCATTTTCTGCAAGACCATGGCGGAGACTTCTTCCGGGGCGTACTTGACAGTTTTTCCTGCCTGTGTGACCTCAATCATGGGCTTGTCCTTGTCCGAGACAATCTTGTAGGGCACTAGTTTCTTATCGGCCTGAACAGACTTGTCTCCAAAGTTACGTCCAATCAGACGCTTGACATCAAAGACGGTGCTTTCGGGGTTGATGGTGGCTTGATTCTTGGCGGCATCACCGACCAAACGCTCTCCATTTTCCATAAAGGCCACGTAGGATGGAGTAATACGGTTACCCTGGTCGTTGGCAATAATTTCGACACGTCCATTCTTAAAGACACCTGCGAGAGTAAGATTAAATAGAAATGGGATAAGAGACGGTAGATTGATTGGCTTGGATTATCCTTGGCCAAGATAATAGCTGTCCATGGATGGTGTGGAGCAAATTTACTGCCAGTGCAAAAACTAACTCACCAACACAAGAGTATGTGGTTCCCAAATCAATTCCAATTACGGTCCCCATTTTGGACTCCTCTTCCTCCGCAAAGGAGACACCGAGGTTGGCCGTGAGTGCCACTGATACCAACAGAACGGAAGAAGAAAAGGAGGAAAAATCATGGTCAGTCGCGTGGATGGATGGACAGAATAATAGGAGCATTGGTCATGCGAGTTCGACAGGTTTCGCTGTACTTCTTCTTTCTCGTGAAAACCCAATGCTACCCAATGCTACCCAAAACTCACATGCGGCAAGTGCTAATTTTCGAAAGAACATGGTGTATTGTAGTATATCGTTGCTTTTGTTTTGTTTACTCAGAGAGACAAACAGGTCCAATTTATAAGTCAGAGCAGGAAGCAGTCTAATCCAATGCAAGATAAGATAAGATAAGATGCTGTGGATCCGAGTTGTTGTGGTTGTTTCGATTTGCTACGTGCTGGTCCAATGACCGCTTTTGATGGATCCGCCCGGCCAGGACCAAACCGTTCAAAATGAACGGTTCCCGCTCCAATACAGCGATGTCTACCAGCTTCTACGTGGAAGCTACGATATGGTATTTCTTCGAAAGTCTGTAATGCGTCCGTTGACTTGTGCTTAAGCTTGGGGTAATTATTTGAATCAATTAGAAGTATTGTGAGGTTTCTGCAGGATTGGGTTTCTGCACCTCCCTGATCTAATCCAAAAATTGCCAGGTGGAGATTTGGATGGCGGTTTTCGAAAGCCTTCGAATAGCGAGCGAGCATCACCGGATGAGAACACGTCATCGAATCCTTTGGAAACGGTTCCAGTTTGCATGCCGAAAGCACCCAAGCAACCGCACCGGTCCCAACAAACTCTTTTGTGGTTGTTGTGTAGGTACCTACAATATTCATGTTTTCACAGGTTCACAGAAGTATTCACAAGCCAGTTGCTATGCAGCTTACACCAGATGCCAATGAATTGAATGGTCGAATCCAATTATTCACCAGCTTTCATTCATACCAGTGGACGTGTTGAGTTGAAGAAGAAGTAACCATTGGATTTTGCGTCTCTGAGCATTTTCCTCAAGTGGTCAGATGAATATATCGGTTCCGCGTCCTTCCTTCCAAATGATTTCCTTCGGGATGGGAAAATGACGAGGGGGCGAGCGAAAGCTCTGCACAATGGCAATTTTGTGATTTAGGATGGAGGGCTTGGAAAGAAAATGAAAAAAAAATTCCATCCATCCTTTTTGCCCATCACCAGATTTGGCCGATATCTGAAGGGCCCTGTGCTACCTACAAACGGAAACAGATCTTTCCAAGTGAGAAAATCCAATCGTTTCACAAAAATGGCTTGCTTCTCTGGTTTCACTATTCCTTGTCATTCAAGTGGCAATTGGGTGGGATTCTGTTGGATGGAAGAGTGGAAGGGCTATCCACCCATCTTTTGGGTATAAGTCAATGAGCTTCAACCTGTGCACACAGCCGCCACATGAGAAAATTCAAGCGTTTCGCGAAACTGTGATTATCAGGTTTCGCCTCCTTGTCTTTTTTTGTGGCAGAGAAAAGCGTGGGATTCCTTTTGTGTGCAGGGCTGAAACACTCAAGTGGTGGATTTATCCATCCTTTTGGCCATCCCACCAGGTTGGGGCAAATATCTGAGGGGATGGGGATGGTACATGTACAGAGCTGTCAAGTGGGGAAAATCCAAGGCATTGCTCACCAGGCATCCACGATTTTCAGGGTTCCATCAAAGTATCCATCAATTTTCTTGGGAACTTCAGGAGTCGCTCACGTTTAGAGAAACAAAGAGGAAAGTAACACAGGTGCTGTGGCCGGTTGCGAGTGGGATTTTCTCTGTAGAACGCTTGACGACTTTTTGTGCTGGTGTCGCTTCGGGGAGACTGAACGAATGCCGCGTTGGAAGCATGTCCATTTTTTGCCTTTTTGAGTTCCATAACTATTGGTTTCTGGCAGGTGAAAAAAATCCTCTAGGCATTCCTTCCTTGGTGAGAAATCCCCGATTGCTGGAGTGACTGTCACTCAGTCAACCGGCAGTCAGATTTTCCAATTTTGTTCTGCACGAGCGCAAACCATAATTTGATTTTCTGCAATCTCTGAACCACGAAGCTGGCGGGGAACACATTATAGAAATCAACAGGCAGAATTTCTCTAGGTTTTTGCTGATTCTGCACTGCAATAGCATCTTCTCGCTGCAAGTACTACTGTACGCACAAGCCAAATAAATTTTAGCTCAGGTTTGTGAAGGAGTGAATCACTTTTACCTTCTTCTAGGTACATGTAGCTGTGGATATCCAAAAAAAGTAGTCGTCTACTGTAGTTTTGCTCCAAAAAATGGAGCTATCGTCACACGGCATCGCTGGGTTTGCTTGGTGGGAGTTCCAAGCATTATGACGCACCTCCAAGGGGGGCCTGAAACACGGCTGAGAGAAACAATTCATCGTTGGGATTTCATAAGAAGCATCCCTATCCCAGTGCAGTTCAGCTTTCATGATGATGGCAAGATGCCAAGTCAAAGGGAGGGAATTACTTTATAGTGGTTCTAGCATGACCATACAAGTGTACCGCCAATTATTCACCTCAATTTGGCGGATACTCACCGCCAACGGTGGAGAAATACCGGTACAAGACCAGAGCCTCCTCTAAACAGAGTGTCGACGCTTTTTCTTTCGTGGTGACGGTGATGGAAGTCTTCCATTCTAGGAAGCAGATCCAGAAAGCAGATGCAAAGATTCTTGGTCCCAGGTTCTAACCGAGATACCGGTACGGCACGCACCATGCCACTGGCGAGAGCTGTTCATTGACGCCAAAAAGTGCCAAAAACTATCCTACTTTTTGAGAACAGACAATGCTATGGTATCTGGAGCATAAAATCGAGGCCCCTCTTTCGGTGCCTGTGTTTGTCGTTCTAGCCGTTCCGCTTCTGACGAATATCCTGGATATGAAATGGCGGTATCTTTCCATTCACACGTTTGAGACTTTCTCCCCGAATGATGAACATAGCAACTCTCATTGAACCCCAGCCATATCCCCCACCGAGCAAATCCACCCGGTCCGGTGGCAGTACACCGTGTGAGTTGCATCAGGTACAAGTCCACAAAGCCGTCATAGAAGGACGATGGCGTCACGGACTGATCCTCCTCGGTGTGCAGCCCCACATGCAACGGCTCTTGCGGATGTTGTGCCGTGACGACAGTCACGTTGTGTTCTTTGCCATAGCGGATGGCGGTTTGAATGGCCAGCAACGAGTCTGATGCCACAAAAAAGGGACCTCCGGGGCGTAGATTGGAAATGCAATTCATCGCATTAATGGCAATGCGTTCTGTTTCCTCCTTGGGTCGTTCCTGAATGGCGTACAGGGCTCGCATATGAGTGGTAGCAAATTCTCCTGGAAACACTCCCATGCGCCGAAAGTTGTGGTGTATCCCTTGTGCCACCGGCAGTGACGGTGTAAATATAATGTGCCAGGCATGGCGAAAGGTAACCAGAAGCGGAGGCTCGTCGGGTTGGATGACTTCATTGTACCATAGATCTCCATAATGCCATGACTGATAGGCCACAGTGACAAGTTTGTAGTTTCGATTGGTGGCAGCACTCTGGATGGGATTCCAGCCGGATCCTCTGGCTGGAGTTGTTCGGACGTCACCTGTCATGTATTTGGGCACTCTCCAGTCCAGTCCTCCCTGTGGTGGCAGCAAAAAGTGCTCCAATGCAAAGGGACGTTCCCAGTATATGAGGAGTATTCGTTGAGTTTGAGCGGCCAGGCGGACCAGTGACAGTATGGGTCTTATGCGGTCCGTCATTCCACCATTGCGCTGTCCCTTAAATGCCGAGGATACCAAAAAGTAGAATTCCTTCCAATTGCTTTCATTGAGCAATTGTCGTTGTTGTTGGTGCCATTCCAGATATTCTGTCAGCCACGTGGGGAGTGTGTCATTGGTGTGGTTGCTCCAGAGAGGTTGGCCCGGATACGGGAGATACAAGTCTTTGTCCTTTATTAGATCCTCAGTGGTAGCAGTAGAAAGCGAGGGAGACGTATTTGTTGGTGAATTGTCGTGTATGGGTTTCGGTAACTCTTGGCTGGAGGGTGTGACAGAGTCACTCGAATTTCGAATGAGTAATTTCGGAGGACTGATGGGGGGGTTTCTGGAGTGGGAACTGGACGGTGTGTTCAATCCAAAGGTTTTGGGAACGTTTGGTATTCTCAATGATGAGTTCATGCCGGGTGCTATCCTTGGTTCCGTGGATTTAGAAGAATCGTTGTTGGGTTCTTGTATTCTCTCGGATGAATTATTGTTTGGTGTGTCATCAAACAGCAATCCAGTGGTCGATAGGAGCAAGTTCATGCTTGGGAAATTCATCAGGGATGTCAGGGAACTGTTCTTTTCCGTGTAGTTACCTTCTCCTTCTTCTTCCCACGGCAATGTCAACTCATCAATCAGAAGCATCGAGGACAGAGACGACAAACTCTTGCTGTTGCCACGAATGGTTGTACCCACAAAGATCACCCCAATGACGACCGCGACAATGGCACGTCGTGAACAGACGGGCGGAGAGGCGTCCTTCTCCTTTCGACGCAGCTTTTTCATATTGGTGTTCGCCATCCTTCTCGCTCTCTACCATACGGTACCGGTAGGCCTTTGGCAACTCGAAATACAAGTGGTAACACCATGGCTGCACCGAGAGGGCCGTTTGTTGTAAATAAATAAATAAAGTTGTGGTGGAATGGAGGAGATTAAAAAGAACTCCATCTGGGTTAGAGCTAATTCAGGGCAAACAGTTCATGTGATGGTACTGGTACCGGTACCGGTACCGGTACCAGTACTAGTACCGGTACCGGAAGTCCAGGTGTCCTGGTGGCGGTACCGGTACCACCGGTACCGGTACCGATACGAAGAAAGGTGCCACTGCCTGGCAATCTCAATCAAAATGCTGGCCGCGAAATACGATTGTGCTATTCCAAATCACCACCCAGAAACAAAGGTCCAAGAAAGAACATGAAACTCGCTCCCTTTTTTACCCGAGCTAAGCAAAAGGAAGGTTGGCATTGGCTCCGGGGACGCTGGAAACTTAACTACTAGTATGGCATGCTGTTTGTCATGCCTACGTTGACGGATCTCTGGCTCATGTCTGATAGAGACCCCATGATGCCCTTCCCAACACCAGCTTCTAAGGACGAGAAGTCACTTTTCGTAGATCTAGCAGTCTTCTCCCCGAACGAAGACGAGTATCTTACGGTGATCACGAGAGATTTTGAGCTGTCAATCCTATCTATGGAGAGCACGTCACTGTGCTCGCAATCCAGCAAAGTCCAAACTGTCAACATGGACATCAGCTGGCAAGATCAGACGGTGCTGGTGATTTAAATGATGGCCTTGGTCCTCCCGTTTTCCTGCCCATCACGATAATCTCTCCTTAGATGATACAACAGGCCGGAAGCTTCTCAAAGGCATCATGACTTGTCTTACCGTGATGATGGAAACATCGGCTATGGAACAGACAAGGAAAGGCTCTGCCTTGATTGGGAGATTCTTCCAAGCAACCCCTGTTTTTTTTTGTTCGGAACCGTGCGAGCGGTTAGCATTTTTACGTATTAGTTAGTATTAGCTAGTTGAAAATACGACCTAAACAGACCAAGCGAACAAGGATCCAGCAGTTGTTGGCAGCATTGTCAACAGCAGCGACGTTGCAATTACTACATGTACTATTATCCAGCTGCTGCTCCCACCAGAATCAGAAGAGAGGCAAGCTTCTGATGTTGTCGCAAAGAACAAAAGAGTTTATTCCTCTGGGACTGGCTGGCTCTTAGTCACAGTTGGGAAAGATCGAATAATCGAAAGAAAACCGATTGAAGTGTATCTTTCTCAACACTTCCCAAGAAGGCTTCCTGCGTACCGTATTCCTGGGTGGGGTTCTTGCGAGTGTCACAAACAACAAAAGAAACAAAGAGGTTGACCATGGTGGGCTTTTGCTGGAAGTTCGGAAGCGCCTTTTGTGGGTTTGATGACGACCCTGAAGAGTGTAAGCCTGGTGCTGTATCGGATTGGCAAGCCGATGATGAGGAACAGGAATATCACAAGTCGTCCTCCAAGATTTCGGCATTGGAAGACAGTATCGCGGAAAAATCTCAACTACGCCAAGAGAAACGCCACCGGTACCGACTAACCGTGTTTGCGAGACAAGTCAATGCCACCGAATGTCCTCGTACATCGAAAAAGACAAAGAAAGAAAGTGACTTTTTGCATCGAGTGCTTCGCGAAGACCGAAAGTTTATCTTCTGTGATTTCACTGACAAGGAGCAAGGCTTCATGCTGGATGTTTTGCGCAAGGACGACACGGTCAAAAAGGGAGACATTCTGTATTCTGGTAAGTATAGTTGACTGGCACCTGTTTGCTGTGGTCTCGTGCTATGCTGCCGTTCTCTTCTAAATTGTTTTTATTTATTTCCAATTTCAGCCGGTGACATTGGAGATTTCTTTTACATTATTGAGCAAGGCCAAGTGGAAATTCTTTGGCCAGACAATACCCCAACAACGACACTGAAAAATGGCGATTCCTTTGGTGAAGTAGCACTGCTGTTTGATGTTCCAAGAGCGGCCACGGCACGGGCCAAGACAGATTGTGTCTTGTGGAAAATGCATCAGCACTGTTTCCGAGGCAAATTGGCGCACCATGCCTTGACGCAGGAAGAAGGAATCATGGATCTATTGCGTCGTGTAGAACTGTTTGTCAACATGGACGATGCCACGTTGCGAAAATTCGCCAATGCCCTGGAGCTTGTTCACTTTGCACCGGACGAACGAATCGTCAACAAGGGAGACGAGGGCAAGGTGTTTTACATTATTGACCAGGGACAAGTCCGGATTCATGCCATTGGAGCGGGTGATAGCAAACAGGTCGATATCACGTTGAAGGGTGGAGAATGGTTTGGCGAGAGATCCTTATTGACGGGCGAACCCAGAGCCGCCAATGCCACGGCACTTACGAAAGTCGCCGCGTGGGCAGTCGATCGGGATACATTTGAAAATTCGTTTGGTCCGCTACAACAAGTCATCCAACATGAGATGAAAAAGAGCTTCTTGAAGGCAATCCCATCTTTTGCTCAGTCAGACATTAACCCCTCCGAATTGGATACACTCGCTGATATGATGCAAGAATTGTGCCTCAAGGCGGGACATCACATTGATGAAGTTGGAAAACCATATCGTCAGGTTCTTGTCGTTATTGAACACGGGAGAATCTCTCTCTACGATGGCAAGGGCGAAGATGGTGGCAAAGTTTTCTCGATCCAGAGTGGAGACTATTATGGGGACAAACACATTCGGGACGAACCGGGAAAACTGAGCTGCTACAATGTCGTTTGCGAAGAAAACACCACCGTTTGGTCCATCAGCAGAAGTGAGCTTTTGAGCGTGATCGGCGATCTCGACAGGTTGGGACAATCAGTGTCGTTCGAAGCACAGAGAAAGTCAAACTACAAAGCTCGCATTCAGCAGAAAGAGGTGGAGAAAATCAAGGTTCTGGGGCATGGTGGATTCGGCAAAGTTTGGTTGGTCAAACACAAAGAAACAAATCAACATTATGCACTGAAAGAACTGAACAAACGACAAATCTTGGACAGGAATCAAGCCCAGAATGTCATGAGAGAACGAGAAATCTTGGCAACACTCAACCATCCATTTATACTAGGACAAGTGTCGTCGTTCCAGGATGAGACAAGTCTGTATATTTTGATGGATCTAATCCGAGGAGGCGAACTGTACAATTTGATTGTAGGCACAGAGGGAAAAGGGCTTCCAGTTGAGGATGCGGTTTTCTACGCGGCTTGTATACATTCCGGTGAGTGCAGGTACAGTCGCATGTGTGGTACAGTCCAATTTTTCGCTCGATGCAGCCCTCCTCATGTTGTTCACTTCCAGCACTGGCGCACTTCCATGCACGCTTGATTGCGTACAGGGAGTAAGTATGGGTTGTACTCTTTGTTTGACGTGTCAACTCAAAACTCGTGATACCCCAATATCTTATTATCGTCACGATGCAATCTTCTACCTCTGCTATTGCTCTCGTCTGTTTTGCTAATGATCAGTCTCAAGCCCGAGAACGTAAGACATCGTTGAATTTAGTTTTTGGATGGCAATCTTCATCATAACAGGGGTTGCTAACTTTGCTTGGCTTGTCAGGTGATGCTCGACAAGGATGGCTATTGTGTCTTGGTTGATCTTGGATTTGCCAAAGTGATAACAACCAAGACATTCACACTCTGTGGTACTCCCGAGTATTTGGTACGTTGGAGTGAAACCGTCTGTAGCTGCTGTGCTTTTCATGGTCCTCAACGCGTGTGTCAACTCTGGGTCAGGCACCGGAGATTCTAATGAGCAAAGGGCACGACAAAGCAGTCGATCAGTGGGCTTTCGGCGTCTTGATATACGAGCTCCTGACGTGTCGTTCGCCATTCTACAGGCAGGGAGACAAGCAGGTGGAGATGTTCAAGCGTATCGTTAAAAGTGAGTACAAAGTTCCGCCAACCGTCAAGGTAACTTCCGAAGACATCATTCAAAGGCTCCTTGTCAGAAACCCTGCCAAACGGTTGGGGAACCTGTCGAACGGCTCTGAAGATGTCCGTGCCCACCCGTGGTTCAAATCCATCGATTGGAAGCTGCTCAGAAAGAAAGAAATCAAAGCGCCCTGGATCCCAGAGATAAAGGAGGGCGCAGCTGTCGCCGATTCGCACATCGACTTCTCGGAGGGTGCTTATCAGAATCTGTCGTTTGGAAGGGCTCTCACCGCAGGAGAACAAAGTATTTTCAAGACATTTTAGCTGTGGAATCAAGTGTTCGGCTCCAAATAATTTAGTAATCAAACTTTCCTATCACGGCGGCGTACCGGGGGATCCTGAGGCGAATGGATTCGATTCCGTTACGACAGCCGTTTCCCTTTTTCAAAACTCATCCCTTGCACGACGCATGGTGATTGTAGTATCTCCTAGCATTTTTTATCCTCTGCAGTCAGTTTCCCAACCGGCATAAGTAAGGGAATGAGTGGAAGCCACCAGTCCTTTTCTCGTTCACGGGAAACTTTCAGGCCCTAAGTGGCTTGCGGTTCAAGAAGTGCTAGTTTCGAGCTCTGCTACAGTAAAGGATGAATGAAAGGCTTACTTGTTTCTCAGGTACCGGTACCTCCATGTGCACACCCGACCTAGCTAGCTCTGTGATTTGAAAATCAACTGTTCAGCTATAGTTCTTGGTTATGTTCAGGTTATTCGGCAAGCCAAACAGCAACACGGGCAAAATGAAAGAATGCAGGTTTGAGCGCTTTCAATACAGATAAGTTAGTTGTGTGCTTAGATATTGGCCTTGGTGGTAAGTCCTGCAACACCAGTCTTCTTGGCAGTACCAGAAGTGGTGGTGTATGGGCCCCAAGACGAGACAACATGAGAATCCTCTTCTTCAAATCCCAAGTCCTTGACGAACTGCTTGGCAGCCTGCAGTCGAACAAGAAAGTAAAAACGCATGAGTCACTTCACGACATTTACAAACAGCAAAGAATCAACAAAATGCATCATACCTTCATTCGGCGAACTTCCTTCATTCGGACCATCTTGTTACGGACAATCTTGCGCCAGTAGGATCCATCCTCGTTGGGTTGGACAACAGTGCAGGATCCATCCTCGGGGTCGTACATGATGACAGCCTGCTCACGACCATCTTCGACGGTGGCACAATCAGCACCCTCCATTCCAGGGTTTTCATCCATTTCGACAATGCAACTTTCATCGTCAAGTCCCGAGTCAATGACAGCAATACGCTTGCCAATCAATTCATCAGCACCAACGATCAGTCCCAGAGGAGCCAAAGTAGATCGGTCATACTCGACCAACATGCCGTTCAACAATCCCATGACACGTCCGCAGGCCATTTTCCACCAGGCAGCAGTCTCCATGTTAACTTCTTCATCGACACGAAGGCGGCCATCAAGGCTGTAGGGAATGTAACCATCATCCGGTGGGTGAAGGGCATCTCCAGCACTAGGTTGGTAGACCTTGAAAAGTTTCTCATCGTTTTCACGCTCTTCGTCTTGGTGATTGTAGACACCCACTTCATTGTCATCGCCACGGTACGAAATGGTGGCGTCCAGCCGGATTTCACCGTCCTTTTGGTGGTCAACGGTGCAGATTTCGAATCCGTCCTTGTTTCCTCGGATCAAACGAGACTGCTGACGTCCATCACGGGATGTTCCACCTCGCATAACCGATGTCTGGACAAAGACACATGATCCACGGTTGGGGTATGGACCTTCCTTAGGGTCAATGGTTGGGAAAGTGATGGAGTCTTGGTAGTCTTGTCCCAAGTGGAAGTGTCCCGAGAACCATGCCTTGATGCAACGGTGTTCACGGACAAGCTCAATGAACTTTCGGCATTGGGCCTCGTTGGAGTGGTTCAACCAGCAGCATCCATTGACCACATGGTTCTCCTGAAGGACACGCAATCCAGATCCATTGGGTGGAGCATGAGTGAAGATAAAGACTTTCCATCCTTCCTCGGCAGGGTGAGTCTTGACCAAATCTTCGAACCAGTCGATTTGTTCCTGGTCAATAGTCACCTCGTGGGAAGTGTAGACGGCATCACGGAAAACGGTAGATGAAAGTCCCACCAAAAGAGTTTTGTCGGCAATCTCACGGCAAAAGTTTGGGGTTGGCTTATTGTGGGCACGCAAGAACAATTCCAAGTTGGCCTCATCAGTGGGGAACTCATCCAGTCCTTCCAAGTCGTGATTTCCTCCAATGACTTCATATGGAACTCCGAAGGAACCAAGGTATTCGGATGCCAACATGTGGCATTCGGTAGTTCCAGCAAAGAGTTCCGAAGTCTCCTTTGGTCGCACAGACTTGGACTCTCCCAGATCTCCAAGCGAAACAATGGCGGCATTGCCGTGTGCTTCCTTTGCCTCTTCAAGGATGGGCACCCATTGTGAATGTCCGATCTGTATATTCAAAATGGGGTACAAAATCACGTTGAGACAAACACCGTGCAATAATAACATGATTATTTAGAACCACAGGGGTATCCACGTGCTTACCTCATAATCCTCCATCTTTCGGGGGTCCATGTGCAAATCCCCCAACACTCCAACAGTGAATTCATCACTAGCCTTCAAGGCAGTGACAGTGCGGGGTGCAGATGGCATGGTGAAGGCCGTAGCCATCACCGGAAGGGCAACCAACACTCGCATCATGATAACAATTCTGTTTTGGAGATTCTAACTCGAAGAAAAAGAATGAGAGTACAAGGAAGCAGTCACTGGCAAAGGGCAGCGAAAGCTTCAGAAGAATATGGGTAGCTGGGTGTCAGCAACGATACCACGGCTATTGCGAACGAAAATACCAAATGGCTCCGACACAAAGGCCAAGAAGACGGGGAGCTGGAGCAAAGGTAGGTACTAGCTACTAGTAGTGTGTGGTGTCGTTAGATAAACTGGGAAGGCTGCCGCCGACGTCAACCACAACGACGTACGAGATAGTTGAGGGTACGTATGTCTCATTGAACTCTTGAGTGGTGAGCGAAAAGAATAGCTCAAAATGGGGGAGTTGAGGGATAAATTCATTGGACACACTTGTACCGAATTATTATTCCGGCCATTTTTCTCTCTGGAGCCTGAAATCATTCCAAGATTAGATATTCTGTTATGAGCGAGAATGGGAACGATGCTTGAGCGATGTGCGTCCAACTGGCAAGAGTCTGGCAGTTGTAAGTATTGCAACTAGGAGCATGTCTAAATCAAAATGAGGAAATGCTCCATCCTCGTATGCTGCTGGAAAGACAGGAAAGGGGCAGACGAAGAGCCGTCAAGTGGAGCCAGGACAGTACTGTAGCTGATAATAACGGTATAGCTTTTGGTGGACACACGTCAGTTCCAGGATACTGCAGGGTTGGAGGAGAGGCAGGTCAGCTACCGATAAGCCCCCTATAACTAACTATCCTGTAGCGCCGTCAACTCAAATCTGGGAACAGTCAGCACGGTACCGGTACCGGTACCGGTACCGGTACAGTCAAGGGCAGGGAGCCTGAAAGCTACCGTTATTTGCCTTGGCACTCCAGTACCAGGTACATCGTATCGGATCGATACATAGGCTGGGTTAACCAACCACTGCATTGCATGGCCCTACTAGACATTATGTACGGTATGTGCAGATACCATTCTAAATTACCCCGTTTCGAGAGTTGACATTGAAACATGCGTGACAAGAAGTGGGTATCTTCATCGGAGAAGCCCACGTCATGCACTAAAAGGATTCATCATTCCAAGATAAAACACAACCATGACACATGAAGCCTGTCTTGTGGGCGTCCGATCAATCCACAGATGAATCTTTGTGCTGGCCAAGATTTGGTGTTGGACAAGGACAAACAGTTTTGCTGAGAAAGGGAAAGAAGATTGGAGGGAGGGAATCATCTTAGCTACCCGAAGGCCACCCTTTTCCTTTTCCATCAGAAGCCACCATGAGATTATTGCTACCGTCATTGGTAGTTTCAGTATTCCTTGCTGCTAATAATGTCTCCGCCATGGCCACAACCAAACCACGGATTCTCTCGTTTGGCATTGCCGCAGTGGATTTTGTAGCGGTCGTCGATCACTTTCCCGATCCCGATGAAAAAATGAGATCGTCCTCTCTGTTGGTAGCGGGTGGAGGCAATGCCGCCAATTCGGCCTGTGCCATGGGTCGATTATCCGACTACTGTCAAGTGGATGTGGCCACGGCCGTGGGCGACGATGCCAATGCGAATACCATTATCGATGGAATTGCCGAAAACAACGTCGGAGTCGAGTACGTGGAGAAAACACCCGGAGGCAGCAGTCCCTTTTCCTACATTTTAACCACTCCCGACAATGCGCGCACCATCATCCATCAACCGTCGACACGAGATATGAGTCTCGAATTTGCCAACACAATTCCCTTGAGCCAATACGATGCCGTTCATTTTGATTGTCGTCATCCGGCAGCCGCAGTCCTGTTGGCCGAAAAATGTTTTGACAAGAAGATTCCCTATTCGCTCGACGTGGAACGACCCCGGGAAGGACTGGACGAATTAATGGACAAGGCCACCGTCGTCATTTGTAATTCCGATTTTTGCGATACCATGCTGGGAAAACCCGACAAGGATAATCTATCGGATCTAGAAATTGCCAATCGACTCAAACAAGTCATTAAAAAAAAGGCACCCAACTGCAAGATTGCATTGCAGACTTTGGGTGGCAAGGGATCTTGTTTAGTACGCATGAATACTAATAATGATGGCAAGGATGGAACCATTTTGGAGACGGACGAGAAGGGACACGTTCCCTTGGTCACACAGCACGATGGCGCACTGTGGTGTGCCGTCTGGGGCGGATGTGACGTTGTGGATTCCACCGGAGCCGGAGATGCCTTTCAAGGTGGATTTGCCGTGGCGTTATGGAGTTATCTCGCTGCCAATCCGGACCAATCTCTCGAGACGGCTCCACCTGCAGCATTGGCTCGCAGTATGAGAATTGCCACACGAGTCGCCGCCAAAAAGTTGGAAGCTCCGGGAGCCCGCGATGGACTGCCGCGAAGCAGTGAAGATGGACCCTTGCAAGAAGAATTTCAAGGGTTGGGCGTCACTGCCAGTGCAGCAGCCACCAAGAAATCGGGTTGGAGGCGGTTGATTCCGTTCCTGTAACGTTGCTACTGTAAGCTTGTTCTATGGCACCAGCTAGCTAGGTGTGCCGAATAACACAAGCGATAGCTGCCTAGCTAAACTTGTCATTGCATCATTGGCTCGCTTTTTGATACTGTAGCAGTACTGTCTTTGTCCCATTACTATCAAAGTGGTTTTGAACATGGTCAGCCATACTTTAAAAAAAAAGTGAATAACTTGGTGGCGGGCCGGGTACTTGTCCCAATGGCGGACTACCGGTAGACAGGATACTTGGAGCTTCTTCAGCCTCTTTTAAATTCTTCAACCCATGCGTTCTTTGGTGCGGTACGAGCTCCAGCTCATCCTGAGCTTTCAAGATGTCATTGTTGACAGTCCTTGGCTTTGCTTTTCTTCCTCACTCTTTCCCTATTCTAAGTCAAATTTTAGACAGCTTTGATGGCTTTTATTTGGATATCCTTGTCAGCGTGTCTCGAGAACAGAAGAAGCACAGAACCACATCACCCCATCACCATCCCTCTCTTTCGATAGCTTCGTTGGATACTACTACTACAAGTAGAAGCTAGCTAGAGTACACAATGTTGATTCAAGAGTCTGATTGGGGCTCTAGCCTGCATCTGGACATTTCCAGGGGACCCCGTAAGGTGTTGGACTACCTGCAAGAAATCGATCGAGATGAGACATACCATCTGGTTCATTTGTACCGCAACTTTCCGTCGCCGTTGCGGGGTTTCACATCGGACACACTCATGCTGCAAGTCTTCGAGTCAGTAGCTGCCTTACCCAACGCGTCCAACCTGAAAATCAGCTATGCATCTGCAACATTTCCCATTCATCTTTTGATGCAAGTCTTGGCAGGAACACCCAATCAGGTGGAGACGTTGGATCTACTGTCCGTCAAATTCTCATACAGGGATGCTATGGCAGTCACCAAGATGATGCAACAGCAGCAGCAGCAACAACAACAAGATTCATCAACAATGAGCTCCTCAAATATTAATCTGCTGTCACTCAAGACCATCAGTTTGGAAAATTGCAAGGCCGAATCGACGACCGGCATCAAAAAGAAAAAGGGAGAACCACTGGATTTGTTTCTGGCATCGCTGGCATCCATGAAATCGCTGGAATCCTTGAAACTTCACTTGATTGAAAAGGAATTCCTCCACAACGACCTTCCTCCCTTTCCGTGGCTCCAGAAATTGCATCTGGAACGTTTGCATGTGTCGGAACCATCCTTAAACCACATATTGAGGTGTTCACCACAGTTGGAGGAACTATCCCTACAGTCTCTCGTGGACCCTCCTCAGAATGCAGTCCTACTGTCCCTGGCGCGAGCACTTTCGTTTCCTACCGAAGAACACAACAACCACAATAGCAGCTGCAGACTCCGAATCCTCAAGCTACGGTTCATCTTTCACAATCTACATCACCTCGATGAACAGGCTCACAATGCCTTTTGGGAAATGCTGCAACACAACCACACCCTTCAAGAGATTCATTTGACCATGAATTGGCGGATGGACCCCTACGACTCCATCATTGGCATTCCCATTGCCGCAGCACTGCGGCACCACACATTGCAACGACTTTATTTGCACACCCGCATTGACGACAACCCACAAGCCAGAGATAATCTGAAAAAGAGTCTCATTCTCATGGCCCATGCCTTGCGCGACAATGAGACACTGCGGCAATTTGATTTTTGCTTGGCGGGGGGATTGCGGGGATACGATCAAGATCAAGTGTACAATCTACTTCGGGGGCCCTTTCAAAACACAGACATTTTGGAAGAACAGTACAGTCTGGAACGATTGGGGTTGTGGTATCGGGCCATTGGGTATTTGGAGCTGACGGACAAGATGAACTTCTTTCTCAAGTTGAATCAAGCGGGACGTGGTCGTTTGCTCTTGGGGAATCCAACTCGACGAGATTGGGTGGATGCGGTGGTTGCCAATCACAGTGATGTCAGTGTCGTGTTCTTTCTCTTGTCGCACAATCCGCTATTGAGCGAGACCATGCTGTTGGGTCTGTGATCAAGACGATCTACGGCAGTGGAATGATTCGATTCGATTCAATCGAATCATCAATCGAATCGATTGAATAGAGTACGAAGAGGATGATGCGATTCGATTCGATTCCTATTATTGTTGTACTTGAACTTGTTGAATCCAACAAGGGCAACCATAGTTAGTTGACTGGCCTAGTAGGGTACCTACCGATGGCTAGAGTTGTCCAGCTTATGCTTTTAGATGAATGCATGTTATGATGGAAAGCTACAAACAGGAAGTCACGGTACCGCCCAACCGCAGCTGTTTCGGACCTGACTTTCTAGCTGAGGAATCTCGATTGGACGGAGGTAGACTAGGTGTATCAATGAAACCGCTCTTCCCTCGTGCAGGACGATGCTAATTACAAAGTCCCCGGAGGGATTAAGTTCTATTCACAACCTGCGTCCCGCAACGAGAGAGCCAATTCACACGCTGTACGCTGTAGCTGCATGCTACATGCACAGAGCTGGTTCCGTTTTTAGATGGGAAGGCATGTCGAAGCAATCTGCGCCAGCCGCTGTCGTGGAACCATCCGAGATGCAATCGTCATCATTCCTGGTTGCTGAATGATGAATCGAATCGAATCGACGAAGCCACAACTACTAGCTAGCTTGATATTTTGTGATCGCTGCTGAAAGTCGCACAGACCGACAGCTGCCACCCTCGAGCAGACGAGCAGACAGCTGATTGTGCGGAGTAAACGGTACTCTAGTACCGATTTGTCCCTCCTGTACCAAAACGAAAGAGGACCGTAAGTAAAATTTAATGCAAGCCAGACACATCTTGATGTATCATAGGAAGGGCCAAGCCGCTCTGCACTCTGCACAGCTGGATCTGTTGAAATCCAAATAAATAATGATGTTTGAGGTTTGATTGAGTATGAGTACCGTACCGGTAGCTGTGCCGTACAGTTTTACGGGTATCGGTACGGAGAACCAGGTGCTGGAACGGTGCTCAGCGCATGGCGCATGAGCTGGCGCATGTTCCAATGTCAAAAAGGGAATAGACCCCATTAGACTCTAATTCCGAAATGCACATCATTCTTGAAGACGTGGCCGACGTGATCAAAAGCTGAGAAATAGCTTATATATATTAGCTTATATCTTTTACAAAAATGCACTATTCATTCTCTTCGTCCCACAAAAGGTTTAAGGTGAAACTTGAGGGCACGAGCATCGAAATATCCGTGAATGGAACTCCAAACAAACTAGGTCGCCGAAACTCAAGTGCCGATCACTACTTTGCTCATGCATTGGCAATTGGCAATGCTCTGATGACGAGTCTCAGTCTCTGATGCACCAAGCTTTGCTTCCTTCCTCTCACAATACAAAATCTGGAACTTTAGCCACACACTTGAGCAATTTGTGGACCTTTGCCATCATCTGTTGCCAATCCACCATGAACTGCACCTCTTCTGTGGTATCCGCAATGCGCCTCTATGGCTGGAAGCTGACCGTTTGTCTTTTGACCTTGGCATTGGAGCTCTGGTGCGTGTTTTTGCTGTGGAATTCCAGCTTTCAGTTCTATTCTCATTATCTTTTTGTTGCATTCATAGGGTGTTCCTGCTGGTTGTTTTGCTCGGCAAAGCCAATGACCTTCAAGTCAATCTGATCCTCATCAACTGCCTACACTTCTTTGCCATTATCGGCTTGCTTGGGTGCACCATCAAAATGCTCTACGACAAAGCTTTTGCCAAGGAGGACTTGACTCGTCTTTTGGCTTTCGGGGACGACTATTGGCCTCCCTTTCCTCGCTGGGAGTGGAATTCACCCCCTCTCCTTTGGAACGTCGTTGACTACGACTTTGATGATGGCACGGGTTGGAGCAAGCTATACCCAGAACCAAAGCAAGAAACCGCTCTAGTAGACACTGGAAACACAAAGCCGGCAGTCACCAAGTTCTTCAAGGATGCACATCTTCCCGCCACAATGAAGCAAGTTTACTTTCTTGATCCTGGTAGCGTTGATCCAGCTCAATTGACTGAGTACGAGCTCGAGTACCTGGCCACAGCCGCAGAACAGAAGCTACCTTCCCTTGTGGTCTGTGTTTGCTACCTGCTTGCTAAGGAATCAAATGCCTTCCTGATGGAAAGCATTTCCTACTTCACTCAAGTCCACAAAGCTCCCCTTTATGTCATGGTCAATGCCCGAGAGGAGGGTACGTGGATCTATGACCAACTGCTTCAGCTCTCAGGATATCTGCAGAATCACCATCTCCATCAAGTCCGAATCTTCTTTGTCAACTCGTCTCGGTCCAAAGCAACCAACCTGAATGCCTTCATTGACGTTCTTCCTCCACCTGACCAGGAGACGAGTTTCAAATACGTTTGCAACTACGACGTCGATGACCGGCCAACGTTCAACGAAGTATCGCTGCTGACCTATGCCGAAAAAGCCATTGGAAAGCGGCGCAGTGGGCACACGATTGTAGGGATCCAAGGACCATGCCTCGAATGCTACAACGGTACGGTCTCAGGTTTGTTGGAATGTTCCATCGAATATGCCGCCCAAGCTGCCTCTGGCATCTTGTCCTGGGAAGCCCGCTTCTTGGGCAAGGTTCGAAGTCAAGGAAGCAACCATCTTGTCTTGACCAGTGCCTTTAGGCGCTTCCGCTTCAACAAAAACGTCCTCTTGGAAGACTGGCGCTGGTAAGTTTCCGATACGGTTCCAGCACTCTGCAGCAGTTTGCCAACCTCACCCATCCCCTCCACTTGCAGGAGCAACGACATGTTGGAGAAAGAGAACCTCAGCCTAGCCTATGTTCGCACAATGGTGTGCTTCGGACAAACACCCAATGGATGGAATGCTATTGCAAAGAGACGAAACCGATGGAACAAGGGCCGCCATGCAGAAGCACTTAATGATGCTTTTGGTCGACGTGTCATTGGGCCGTGCTTTGCCGACTGGGTCATGGTTTGGGTGAAGCTGGTCATGTTTTTCGTGGTGAACCCGCTCTTGCACATGTTTATCATCATCGGCTACGGTGTCATCTTTGGCGAATCGTACAAGCAAGGACGTTACGGTACCTTGAATTCTGAAAAGTTGGAGGACAACGGAGTCAATGGCGTTCTTGGGATCTTGTGGAACTATTCTTGGATTGGAAGTCTTGCAGGTGTGTGCGGTATCAACCTCGCCTATTTCATCCTCTCTGTCGTTCATCTCGAATCGAGTTCTTTTCTGAACGGTCGGAACACCCCAAGCTACAAGATGCTTCATATTTTGATGCATTTCTTTGACATGTTTTCCCTCTTCTTGAAGCCCCTCTCACGTGCCTACCAATATGAATACTACTGTGGAGTTGAGCTGTTGTTGGAAAAAGCTCTCTTCCAGAAGGTGGAATGGGTAGCGACACCAAAGCTTGCCAAAGAAACATCCACGTTGTCCGCATCCGAACACGACATGACCGCCAAGGAAGACTTCCCTTCTTTTGGAGAGTCCCATGGAGATCTGGCTGAATTCTCTGCTTGATCACTTCATCAGAGTCAGTGATGCTGACAGAACTCTTGTACGCAAATCTCATGCTTTGCAAACCAAAGTGCAGCTTTTCCCATAGACAATTAGTTCATAGAGATCATATTAGATTTTGTTTTTGCTTCATTTTCAGATGTACTCACCCGAAGGCACCAAAACTCCAAACATCCTCTCCACTGCTGATACCGGTAGGAGCAAGCTCAATGAAGGTTTTAGTTGTAGTTCATTTGCAGGTGGATATGCCGAATGTGTCCTTTGCCAGCACGGGTTTGGGGGTCTACTAGATGCGGCTACCCAGGTACCAGGTACCAGCCTACATGGACTCTAACCCCCTTTTACCCCCTTTTGCAAGCAGGCGCTACCGAAGCCACTAGCTAGCGTAAAAAAGGGGGGCTAGTGTAGGTAAATTATCCATGGGCGAGGCTTGTCGGGTAAAGCAAGAATTCGCTACATAGCCACCGTACCGTACCGATGCTTCATCACAGAATCCAAATTGGGGAGGCCTCTAGCTCCTCGAGAGCATGGTCAAAATGGGAAAAATCATGTGTGCTCCCATGCCTCTATATATAAAGTAAGGGAGCGAATATGATTTTCCATGGGTTGGGCACTTTCTGGTCATGAACATGGCCTCCCCAGTGTTGAAATGGGTGAAATCGCTGATTTCCCACGGAATTTCGAAAATGTGAGGCTGAAAAAGTGAGGTTAGTTTTAAACTAGATGGCTGGCTCTCCAGTCACAGAACCTCTTTCTCAATTTGGATTTAGCCGTTGCACCCAAAATCAATCGCATCCCACCAGGTGCATCTCTTTTCGTTCATGTGTGCACGATCAGTCAACATGTTGTTGCTGTTCCGTGACATCCAATCGTTCCATGAACTCCTCTCACAACACGTACGATCGATATTTGACCTTCCGAATGAAGTTTCGACAATGATGTATTGCCTCTTTGTCAGATGGGATCGATATTTGGGATCATGGGCATCGGGTTCAGCGACCATGTTGATTGCTTGAGTGAGCTCAAACTCGCGTCGGATTCAACCGCAGAAGATCCCATCCGAATCGATGGATCAGTCAGTCAGAGGCATCATTTTCGAAGGAAAGCATCTCATTATTTTGACTATCGACACTTTACAAGGAAAGCTCTGCCGGAATCTTCAATCGAACGAAATGGCTCTTCTTCTTCATTATCCTCCGTCGGTCGCTGATCGACCATGGGGATTGGCCGTTCGGCCTTCAGCATTGGGATTCTGCTATTGCTTGGTCGCTGTTATCTTACACGGACTCTTCGTTCGGTCGTCCATGCTCCCTCCGACTGATCCTTCCACCGATCCTCGCTTCGTCTGCCATCCTCGCCGTTGCTGTTATCTTGCCGAGTCTTCTTCCGACCCACGCTTGCTCCACCCGTCCTCTGTGGGTCTTCGGTCGTTCAATCACCACCATGGCTCCCTCCAAACGCAAGAACAAGAAGAACCGCCGCCACAGTGGCACACTCAACCAAAGGAAAGGGCGAAAGAACTACTCTGCCTCTGAGTTAGCTCGAAAGAAAGCCCAAAAGACTGTTACTCCTGCAACTCCCGAGGAAGCAATAGCAAGGCGTGTCAAGCGTGCGAGTGACGTGGCTGAAGCTTTGGGGATGAGTCCAACCCGTCGTTCTCATCATGCTCGTCTTGCAGATCTTTCCTCGGATGAGGAGGAGCCCCTCCGGTCCTTGGCCGATCGCCTCAAGCCTGACGAAGACTCAATGGAAGAAGACGACTCGGATCCTGATCAACATGACGATGACATGGATTACATTCCGGATGAGCAGAAGGTCAAGGCTGCTTTGGCGCAGATATTGCCAGAGGAGAGGGCGAAGAAGATGGCTATTGCATATCTTTATGCTTACAAGTATGCATTCCACGAGGACACGAAAGACACTCCATGGATTGGCATCAACGGCACGCAAGTCAAGATCCGCAGAGACTTGTACGAAGAAAGCAACCGGACAAAGTATGTTGACGTCTTCACCGACTTGCATCATTGCTGCGAGCAACACATTGTCTACACTGGCCAGCGGGTTCATGCTGGACTCAAGCCCGTCATCATCCCCAACAATTCGTTTGATGCCGTCTTCATTGCCAACTGCATTGAACGGAAGAGCATGAGCGTGACAATGGCGATGCAACACCTGAATCGTCTTCGAATTGAAAGAGGCTTGATTCCTTATTCCAGGTCTGCCGTCGATGGCTTGAAGAAACGACTCAAGCACAGGGTGGTGCCCATTCTCAAGCAGAAGCAAGGCAACAGGGATGTCAACTCCCCTTGGGCACTTCGTCGTCATGGTTGGGCTACACAACTGTTACTTCGCATGGGACATGATGTTGAGGTTCCTGACCGGCTTCGTGAAGCAGCGCTGACGGATCCTCCAGAGGAACTACCTCAGCGACAAGTTGTGTTGGGCTTGGACGGCTGGATCAGTGACGAATCGTCTGGTTCCTCTTACAAGGCTGATTCTTCCAGCTCGATTTCCAGTCAACCGCCTCCGACTCCCCCTCCTGATGAAGTCAGTGCGAACGACGAAGGCAGTGCGAGTTCCAGTTCGGAACAACAGCCTGACGATTCCTCTCGTGCGTCCGGTTCTGGCTATGAGTTTCCACTTCCGCCCTGCTTTGATATTGAGAAACTCAAAGCCGCAGGATGGGATTTTCAAGTCGATGATTGTGCCGTCTGGGATGAGATGCACCGCAAGTGCAAGATTGGGTCGGTTCATGCGCAGGCTGGTCGGAAAACTGTTGTCCAGTTTGCAAGAAACGACGAGGGGCAACCAGATCCCAACGGAAGCTACAATCATGCGGTTCCTGCTTACTGCTTGAACGTCAAGTACGAGGATGAGGTCCGCCTTGGACTTGGCTGTGCCATGGTCTCTTACCGCAACGCTGATGGTGTTGTCGAACGCAAAGAGGGATGGGTGTTGGATCCATTTGATTACACCAGCAGGAACATCATCTCCTTGAAGAAATACCGCGAGCTTGTCAAAATTGAGATTGTCAGGATCAAGAAGATGCGGGATGGGCCAGCCAAGACGCAGAAGGTTGGTTGGCTACGACAGGGAAGTGGGGAAACTCTACATGTCGGACAACCTCGTAAAAGGAATGATTCCTTACTGTGGAAAGCAAAGATCGAAAGCTCAACGAACACGGCATCTTCACTGTTGGTGACTTTGCAGAAGCGGAAACATTGAGCTGCGGACATGCGGAAATTACGCTATGGTACGAAGGTGGTGGTACTTTATGATCCCGTTTGTTTCGAAATCTCAAGACTCTCAAAGGTTGGCGTGCCATGTCGGAAGGCTTCGAATGTGGTCCCAACACAACTGACTACCGCACGTGCAAATCCCTACAAGTCCCGTTATGGTGAGGATTGGCGAGACTTTATTCAACGATCCACTACTCTGAATTCGACGGATGTGTCACAGAGGTCGTCAAGCACATGTACAAGGAATCCAACGCTTCTTTCGCAAGCACCGACCTAACTTCCGGCTTATCTATCACGATGCGCTATCCAGATGACGCAAAGAATCTACGAGGATGGAGAACACTTACCTGCGCACGGCTTCTCGTTGATTGAACCTCACCAGCAATCGCTCACAGTTCCCGTCAGCAACAGTCCAGAGGCCAACGCTGGATACGCTCTCAACAAGAGTGAATGATTCAGTGAATCGTCATATCATCATACGAGCCATTGGATAACGACCCAACCAAGTCCCATCCGACACCAAAGCGTGGGAGGAAGCGTACCTGGTCCCAAGTGCACCGCCAAGCGAACATCCCAGATATGATTGATTCGAAGACTCGTGATGCGATCACCTGCTGAGGCGCTGGTCCAGGCCTTGCGACCAGAAGGGCATCGAGCTCAAGAAATAAAGCGGCAATGGTGAAGACGTACATTGTGAACGTCGCGGTTGTGCTCGCTACCGAATATGTATATATTAATGATGAAGTACCAGTGGTGGCACCCGATGCAATTCGCATCTGGTGGTGGTTATCGGTTCTCCAGGAGGAGAGCGGAGGATGTGGCGGCTCGATGGAGACGGGCAATCTCTTTGGCTTTGCCTGGACAAGACGGCAATGTTATTGACTATTGTGGTCAAGACGAGGTTCAGTTAGAGACAATGGGGACGAGATTAATGATGACGAATTTCATTCCAGAGGAAGAGATGAAAGGTGAGTTTGGCTGTTAACGCTTTATATTCTATTTCTAACTCCATGGAACGTTGCCATTTTGGATTCCTAGTTGCTGAGAGGTTAGGGATTTGCAAGCATCAACAAGGGGTTGTGCGTGGTGTGGAGTGTGTTGCATGTCTTATAGTGATTGTGGGTTTTGAGGAAGATCTTTCACGACATCTTGGGAATTTGGTGATCTTTCGCGACTGCTTCTGCTCCGCGGCGATCACTCTCACCGTTCACCAGTTGCATGGTAACTCTTGTAGAAGAAAGCACTGTTTACACCGTTAACATGGGTTCAATGCAAAAGGTTTGGTTGATTGACA